ATGGCTTAATTTTTTATTTATTTCCCGAAACATTAGCAAATTATGAAGGTTATGTGAGCTAAGCAAAATTGTTGGGTGATAATTCTGAGATCTTTCTGATTTTAAAAGTTACAACATAAAGCAAAACCAGGACGTAGCAAGAACTCAAGGTGGTCCCTGACTCGAGGTGGTTCTCGTAACAGGAAAGTTGGAATGCCCGGAGGTATGACTGCAGTCCTGTGGGTGCCTGTGTCTCTCAGGGGTCAGGACATTCCTGGAGTCCTCACGACATTCAGGACATTCACGTGCCTGTCCCTTCACACTCCTCTCTTACATTCTGATGGTATCTGTCTCCCTCACCAACGTGAGCTTCTGTGGGAGGACAGGGACTTTTCTTTCTTTTATAATTTTATTTATCCTGTTCTTTTGGTTTGGTTTTATTCTTTAGAGGCTCCTAATATTTGTATGTTCGGTCTTCTTTTATTATTACTATTATTATCATAATTACTTTTACATTTAATCACTCTATATTATTACAGCATACGAAATGAGTTTTCTCAGTATGAATACAGTGGAGTCTGTATTTTTCAATGCCTGGAAGGCAGTTGGGCCTCAGTAAATACTGGCTGAATAATAATAATAATAATAATAATAATAATAATAAAATCCTCAGATTACCTCCCTCATAGATTTTCTTTTCCCTTGCACAGACCCCAAGAAGGCCTCATTCTTCAGCCTGACTCTCAAGACCTCCTGATGGGAAAGTAAAAGCTTCATGGAAACTTCGAGACTCAAACACCCCTAAGAATTCCCTCTGAAGAAGCACTAGCTGCAGGTCCTGGCCACCTGGACTCAGGTGACCTGGAATATGCCTTTGCCATCCGTTTACCCTTCCAGAGAGAAAACTGTTATTTTAAACTAGGGCAGTTCAGTGCTTAGTTTTTTTCAACATAACTGTTTAAGCATTTCTCAGCATAAGCTTAAAGGTAAACCCCCACACTAACCCAATATGTCATCCACTGTGAGCACAGCAGGTCAGCGATGAGTTTATTATTAGGCCGGCAAGGAGACAAGAGTGGGCACGGTGGAGTGTTTGGGCCCACCTTCCTGGATCCCCCTCCATTGGCTTCTGCACTCAAACCGCCATCCCGGAATTCGCAGTGTCCTGTGGTGGGCTGGTGTGTCTTTATGAGGGGTGGGAGGGGCAAAGCAAAGCCACGGAAATAGCATGGAGTGGGCGCAGCCTCCTTAGCGCCTCCTTACAGGAACTCGGGGCAGTTGGCCTGATCCGTGACCGTCATCTTCTCAATGTCGATGTCATTCGAAGTCAGGATATCTTTTAGGTAGGACACTGTTTCTGGAGGGAGGTAAGGGTTTCTCCCCAAGATCCAGACATGGTCCATGTGAAAGAGCCAGATGATCGTGGTGCAGGAGTACACGAGGGCGTAGTTCTCGTAGTCGGTGGCCAGGACCCAGTACGGTGCCGAGGGCATAACTGACGACCAGAGGAAGGCAGCGTTAGGGGGACGGGGACAAGAAAAGCCTCTGGACACTCCCACATGGCAGACCACGGTTTGAGTCCCAGACCTGGTTGGCTTGCTTTCTCACTTTCTCTCTCTCTCTCTGGTCAAATTAAAATAAATGAATGAATAAAATGAAATAAATAATTATTTTAAAAGAAAGAAAGAAAGAAAGAAAGAAAGAAAGAAAGAAAGAAAGAAAAGACAGACCTCACTCAGCACTCTGGAAGCCAGGCTCTGGAGTTCTTTTTCTTCTAGCTGAGTAGTTCTTAACTCTGGCTTCATGGGGGAGTCATTTGGGAGCTTTGAAGGACATTAAGACACTTCCCCACCCTTACCTAGATTTGTTTTCTTTCTTTAACTAGAGGGTATACACGCTTACCTGACAGAGACAAAGAGAGAGTGGAGAAAGCATCTCCCAAGGGACATAGGACATGCCACAATCCCCTCTCTTCCACCTCTTGCTTCTTTCAGGATTCTAGGCACACATACACGCCCAGGAATGTTTCTCCAGCCTCTGCGCAGGGCAGTGGGTGCTCTGGCTGTCTCAACCCCCAGGCCACAGAGCTGCCCTTAGATTTAGTTTTTTGTTTTTTTTTTTCCTGTATGATCTTCATTAATCTTTCCACTTTTGAAACTTGCTGGCATCAGATTAGAGAGTCGTGGAGGTTTGTAGTCAAGAGGCGGTTTGCTCCTGGGTACTGAGCATCCTGCTTCCTCCTACTCTACATAACCTCCAGGACCAGTCCGTGGCCTGGTGGTTGCATGGGCTGGATCTCACATGGCCAACAGTATGGTTTGAGTCCTGGACCTGACAGCCTGAGAAACACACCGGGTGCATGTGCATGTCTGAGCACAGTCTGGCACAAAGGGAGACGTGGAGCAGGCATGCCGGCATGACCATCCCCTATGGGCGTGGGGTGCTTCCTCCCTTTCTCTCTCTCTGCACATACCTTCAGGCAAATTAAAACAAAACAAAACCTCCTATGTCTGCCAGCTCAAGAGAATAAGTCATGAGTGACCTGAGATGCTGTTGGAGAAAGGGGCAGCGTGGGAGTGGCTGGGGCCTGGCTGGGTGTCAGGGACCCATAGTTAGTGTAATGGCTATGTTGCTGGACTCCCACGTAGTCGACCGTGGTTTGCGTCCCAGACCCGGTGGCTTAAAACACACGCCGGGCGCGTGTGCATGCGTGCCCAAGATCCCGCTGAGAGGAGAATGGAGGAGAAGGGATTGCGGCGTGACCATCCCCCCTGGGTGGTGATTTCTCGCTTTCTGTCTCTATGTCTCTCTCTGTCTGTCTGGCGAGCACATGCGCCCTATAGCGAAAACCTCTCTCTCAAAAAAAAAAAAAAAAGGGACCCAGCTGGTTATCAGGACACCACAAGGGGGCTGGCCTGGCTGACCACCCACTGAGGTCCCTCCTGCCTCTGCCTTCATTTATAAAACACAGGAGACACCTGGAAGAAGTCTGGATGGAAGCCCAGGCAGAGGGGTGCTTCCAGCTCACCTTTCTAACACGCTTGTCGCCCTGCCTGCCTCACTCTCCCAGAGAGTGTGTTACAGTCATCTTCATCTGCTAGCTATGGATTTCAGCTGCTTTGCATTTCCCCAGCTGGACTGAGAACTCTTGAGCACTGAGTGATTTTTCAAAATGTCTCCCACCTCTTCCCACAGCAGTATCGCATCCCAGCTGCACCACCCGGGCGTGAACATTCTGTCTTCCTCTTAAAAGGTCCGCCAGGAACACGTTCACCCAGATCATTCTCTCTACAGAGAACTTCCACCTCTTCCGTTAGTAGAAAACTGCTACAGTCTCCTTTTCCTCATGGAGGAAACTTCAAATGCACTAATGTGGCTTCCAAGGCCCTGCCTAACCTTATCCCTACCGCATGTACCCTCCTATGCTCTAGGCTTCTTGCTTCCTTCCTTCCTTCTTTCCTTCCTTTTCTTTCTCTTCCTTCCTTCCTTCCTTCCTTCTCTCTCTCTCCTCTCTCTCTCTCTCTCTTTCTTCCTTTTTTTCTTCCTTTCTTTCTTTATGTGCTCACCAGAGAGACACAGAGGGAAAATGAGAAATCACCCTTCTGGGGGAAAGGCCACACTGTAATCTCATTTCCTCTATATTTCTCTCAGGATTTTGGGCACACACACACATAGCCACTATGTGTGGTTTTCAAGTTGCTGGGTCTGGGACTCGAACCATGGAGTCGGCCATGTGGGCTGCACCTGCTGGCCCATGCTCTATCCTGGCTCCACTTTATCAAGGCCTTGTCCTATGCCAATCCCCCCACCTGGAGCATCCTTTCCCATAATCTTCCAGACCCCCGACAAGGCCCAACAGAACCGTCTAATCCAACCAGAATAGAACCTTCCTCCTCACATTCCTCAGCCAACAGCTCCTGCCTCCCTTTCAGCTGTTCTCCCAGGTTTCCTGATGAAGATTGCGCACGTCATGGTTACCCTGGAAAATACTCAGTTGGGAAGTTGGAGACCCAAATTTAAGTCCCAACCCTCCCTCTAATTAGCCCACGGCCTGCCTACACCACCTAGCCCTCCTGCAAGTCTCTTCTTTCTTTCTAAGAATAACAAGAGACACTAATGCGGACAAAGTCCCTTATGACCTACAGAGTGTGTTATCTATCTTAATGATTCTGGCAGTCATCCCTGGCTTTTTGTTTGTTTGTTCCTTAGGATTTTTTTTTTTTTTTGAGAGGTTTTCACTATAGGGCGCGTGCGCTCGCCAGACAGACAGAGAGAGACAGAGAGACAGAAAGCGAGAAATCATCCCCCCCAGGGGGGATGGCCACGCCGCAATCCCTTCTCCGCTGTTCTCCTCTCAGGATCTTGGGCACACACGCACACGGGCCCGGTGTGAGTTCTAAGCCATTGGGTCCGGGACGCGAACCGCGGTCGACTACGTGGGAGTCCAGTGACATAGCCATTACGCTAACTGCTGGTTCCCTTCCTTAGGTTTTTGCCATAGGACACATGCACTCCCCAGAGAGAGGCAGAAAGAGAGAAAGTGAAAAATCACCCCCCAGGGAGCAATGGCCATGCCACAATTCCTTTTCCTCCATTCCTCTCCTGGGATTTTGGGCGCACACGTATGTGCCCGGTGTGATTCTGTAGGGAGCACCTGTAAGTAGACATAGTCTTTCATGTTTTTGCTGCAGGGCATGCGAAAGCTCTCAACAATCTGCTGCTGGGCTTTACCAATAGAAGGAATCTGAGGCCAGCCAGAGAAGGCCAGGAGAGGCTTGTTTAGAACGACAGAGTGCGCCACAGCTGGAGCACAGGGCTTTGCCTGCTTTACAAAAGAATGAGCTGGTCAAAATCGAAAATCAACACATTTTTAAAAAGCATAGAATGGCTTGGGGCTACCTCAGAGATACCCAGTCCACCCAACCCCCTGCTTTCCTCTATCCTTTCTCAGCCCACAGCTCTTTTCCTCGGGGCACCCCATCTTTTGCCAGGCTGCCAGATTTCAAGCCACTAGATCCAGGACTCAGACTGCAGTAGGCCATGTGGGAGTCAGCATCTCAACCACCATGCCACCTATTGGTGGCAAAATGAGAAAGCACGACCCAGGGTGATGGCCAGGCCACAATCCTTTCTCCTCCACTCTTCTTTTGGCCACACACACACGTGCCAAACGTGTCTTTTAAGTTACCAGGTCAGGGACTGTAACTGTGAAATTGGCCATATAGGATCTAGTCACCCCAAACCCCATGCCACCGGCCGGTCCATCCCTGGCTTATAACGTGAGCTCAGTTCACACACATAGTCACTTGTGTGGGAAGAATTAATTTTTCCTTCCAGCATTCCTCTCTTGGTCTATAAAAGAAGAACTTCCTTTCTGCCTAACACCAAGGACTTGACTGATGTGAGGTCGAAGGATGGCAGAGGTGGGGGTGGGAGGTAACATTTCTCTTGCAGCTGATGTCTTTGGTGTCTTCCGTAGGGGGAGGGGGGCTCCCAAACTCTTTCAGCTTTAGGAAGTCTCACAGGTCTGAGATGAACTCTTCATTGCATCTATCTCCACAGTAAAACTAATACTTGGTCCTTTTTGTGAATTCCTTGGTTAGTTCAGAACTCAGAGGGACAAATACCTAAATTAGTGTCTCTCACAGTCCCCCAAAATGTGATTAGAAAATGACAGAGGGGGCCAGCCCCAGGGCCTAGTGGTTAAGAATGCCGGATCCCACGGAGTCAACTATGGCTCCAATCCCGGCCCCAGTGGCTTGAAAATGAAGCCGGGCACATGTGTGTGCTTGCCCCAAACCCCGATAGGATGAAGAAATGGAGGAAAAGGGATTGTGTTGCAACTACCCCCATTGGGGGGCAGTCTCTCTCTCCCTCTCTCTCTTCCTCCATTTTTCTGGTGAGCATACTCATCCTCTGGCAATTAAAAAAAAAAGCTTGAGTCAGAACTTGCTTCACTGTCTCCTCCTGCTCTAAGCTCTTGTACATATTAGTCATTCTGTTGATATCTACTATTTTTCAGGCCTCAGTTTCCTCTGGGAAATAAAATCGGATTGAGTTTAGCTGGCCCTTTAGCTCAGTGGTTAAGTGCTGTGCGTGGGGAGCTGGATCCTACGTGACTGACCGTGGTTCAAATTCCGGCTTCGGCAGCTTGACAAACATGCCAGGTGTGTGTGCATGCATGCCTCCAATCCTGATGGAAGGAGGAAGAGAGAAAGAAGGATTGTGGTGTGACCACGTTCCACTGGAGGGTGCTTCTCCCTCTCCCTCTCCCTCTCCCTCTCTCTGGCAAGTGCATGTACTCTCTGGCAATTGAAGAAAAAGAGAGAGAGAGAGAGAGAGAGAGAGAGAGAGAGAGGAACTTAGATTAAGTCTCCTATTGCTCGTGCACTGTGTGACCCCGTTTGGGTTGACCTATTGAAACACTGCCTGCAGCTGTGTAGACGTGCCAGTGTCTACAGGGGACATGCACCGAAGGCATGAGGGCCTGCTTGGTCTTGCCATTGCATCCCTAGTGCATGCCGCACCGTAGGGGCTCTGTAAAGATGTACTGAGTCATTACAGATGACACTCTGAAGTGACAGGTGCTCCAATCCGGGGCGCTAGCCTTTGGTTTGCATATCTTCTGTCCCTGAAACCTGAGAGAATGGTATACTTACACCAGAAAAACTTAACTCCCAACTTGGCGGGCTCTGAGAGGTTGGCCTGGGTGGCTTCTCCTTCAATTTGATTCACAGTTCCGTCAGCACTACGAGTAACAAAGAGAACAGTAAAGAAAGAAGGAAAAAGTACACGACTCATCACAAGCCAAGCATCAGGGAAGGGCGAGACAGGACACTGAGAGCCGTGGTGGCCACAGTGTGACTCTGAGGGAGACTCTCAAAGGCAGCAAGGACTGCCCCAGTCCCTGCCTTTCCTTGGTGACTGTCTGAGACCAAGAGGAGGGAGGACAGCTGTCGGGCGGTAAGCGACACCCCAGGATTGGATAATAGGCACTTCAACTCTTTCTTTTTCTTTCTTTTCTTTTCTTTTTTTTTTTTTTAGATTTGTCTTCAATAGTCTGAAAGGCCATTTCCTGTTCCCAGGCTCCTGAGAGAAAGGCAGTAAAAGAGAAGGGAAAAACAACCCAAGATACAAAGAAGCCTCGCTTCTTTAAGAGTGAGAAAGAGGTCAAAGGAACAGGTGCGGACACACTCGCTCACTAGGAATAAAGCAGAGCAGAGCATCCGAAGGTCCGAACGCTGTCTCCTCCTCAGTGATGTCATAGACGTGGTCTGCCCCCTCAAGGGTTCTGAGCTCTGAGACCTCTCCCGGTTAGGCAGGCCCCTCCGTGAGTGTGGACGATTCCCGTCCAGGCCAGGGAAAAGCAGGCAGCGCGGGAACATCGTCCTCCTCTCAGAGAGTCTGAGACAGCCCAGATCTCGGAGCCCTTAGATGTGAAGAAATGCCTCTCCTTATCATCGATACCACCTGACATTGATAATTGGCAGTGTCATTTCTTAATGGTATATAAAATGATGATGTCTTACAATGATGATTTTAGGTGGGGTGAAATGATTTTACCCTTTTGAAGGGACCTGCCCTATTTTGGGGTAACTTCCCACAGTTCCCTGAGTCTAGGAGAGGGGAGAAAAGCCAGAGGGCGGAGGCACTGAGGAGGGTGCTCAGGCAACAGGGGGGTGCCTTCCCAGGGAAGCTTTAGGGGCGCTGCCTACCTGCCCATCAGTCCCCAAGGCCGGGGGGCAGCAGACTAAACCTACAGCAGCAGTCCGTTAGCAAGTAGGAGGGTAGAGCCGTGGTCAGTGGTGATGGGTGTCCTAGAAACCGGACAGTCAGCAAGAGCAGGGAAGGCTGGGAAGTGTACTCTGACATTCCCAGCTATCCTGTCTGTTAATTACCTGGCAGGGCTGGAGACCACGCTCTGCTGTCTCACCTGGGACTCAGACAGCTGGGAAGAGAGTGCTTTACACTACTAGTTACTTCATTTAATGCTCAAATAGTCTGATGGAGGTAGATTCTGTTACTACTGCACAGAGAATGATCAGAACTAAGACTACGTGGTTAGGAAGTGGGAGAGCCAAGATTCGAAATCAGGCAGCCCAACTCCATGTCAGCTGGCTTGCTCTCAAATTCTGGCATGTTGATTAGGTACGTCCTCCTGCTCAGACTCCCCTCTGAGTCCTACACTTATTCTGGACTCCTCCTGGAAGATGAAACTGTACCACTTTCCTGAGCTAAGGAAATTGTCTCCATGTGCTCTAGTGTCTAAACAGGTATAACTCTAGAAGCAGAGCAGCTTAACACTCAGGATACAGTTAAGGGGACTCCTCGCCCTCCGAGAGAGGTGGGGGACCTCATGGGTTTGGAGTTCTGTGTCACTGTCAGACTCTTGATCTCAGAATGGGATAAAATATTTGAAATGAGATCATTGCAACTTTGGGGGCCTACAAAATTCTTGTGAGATCTCCAAGGTACCTGCATCTCAGTTCCTGCACCTTTCCCTGGGATGCTGAAATGAGCTGGAATTTTCTTTAAAGGCCCTCACAATTCGTACTTTTTTCTGGTTCATGCAGGGCCAGGAAATTGGTCCACTGGGTTTTGGCTCACAAGAAGGTTAGTGGCTGATGGGATGGCCACAGAAAAGCCTCTTTGAGTCTAGAAACTTTTAGGCTGGATTGTGATTGTTTTCTGGAGTTGAATACAGTTCTCAGATCTTGTAGGGAAGAGGAAGGACAGTTCACATCTCCCCGGGTTCAAATCTTAGCTTCCTCACATAGCAGTTATGTGACCCTGGGGCAAGTTACTTTACATTCCTGTACCTGTGTCCTCATCCATATATAGGATTAATAATAGCACCTACTGAAACTAGCAGATGGCATAATGGTTATGTTGCTGGATTGTCACGTTGACGGCGGTTCAAGGCCTGGACTGGTGGCTTAAAACATGGCAGACACCTTTGTGTGTATGCCCAAGATCCCGAGAGGAGAGGGGATTGGGGCATGGCCATACCACTGGAGAGTGATTTCTTACTTTCTGTCTCTTTATCTCTCTGTCTCTCCAGCAAGCACACACACTCAATAACAAAAATCTCTCTAAAAAAATGAAAGTTATGTTGCTTGCTAAAATGTACAATTTTGGACCACATATCAGAGGTGGAAGCTCTCAGTAATAAAAATTGACACTGAAAAGCATGAGGCCAGGTGGTGGTGCAGTGGCTAGGACGCAGGAAAGTCCCTGGGTTCCCTCAGCCTGGAACCAGGTGAGGACTGTGGCATGGGGACCTTGTTTGGGGTTCCTCTCTGCTCTCCTTCTCTCTGCCGCTCACAGAGGAAATAATAAGTAGATTTCAAAAAAATAAATTAACAAAAGGAGATGTCATACTTCTAAAGGACATCCTGTTTATCTAATCCAGAATACCTACAGAGTTGTGAAATATATGTATTTGATTTTTTATTATAAAAAAGGAATTCTTTACATTTCTTTCTTTCATAGACAAAGAGAGAGAAAGACAGAGGAATTCTTTACATTTCTTTCATAGACAAAGAGAGAGAAAGACAGGCACACCCAACAGGGTCTCATGCCATGGCCCTGCCCCCAGCACCCCTGCCAGTAGGACAGGTGTGCACGCCCAGCAGGTACAGAACAGCCCGGGAACCAAGCCGCCATCTTTCTCATGGCTGTCTTGCACTGCAGAGCAGTGCACTCCTGCCACACCCCACTGTGCCACCGCGGCTGGCCAAGGAGTTTTGCAATGGATAAAGCTGCCTGCAGATGGAACGACTGTCAGAGTGGGTGCTGAGCTTCCAATTCCTGGGAGCATTGAGCAAAGTTGGATGCCCTCTGTCAGCAGATGGCACAGCAGGGGCCTCTCTTCAGGCTGAAGGTCAGACAAGGTGGCTCCCTGTGTCCTTTGCTGCCAGGGTCTCTTTTGTGTGAAAGCAGGAACCCTGTCAGTTTGGGTTCTTGTGGGGTCCCTGTTGCCTCTCACAGGATCTGATCTACAGAAGGTGCTTGGTAAGTAAGTGGAGAAGAACTGAACAAGTGAGTTGTATTCCTTACCGTCCCTGTCTGCCCAATGTCCAGTCCATCTTAGCTCCTGCCGCCCCCAGCCCGCGGTGCTGGCGTTCCCTGTGACCTGGCTTGCAGGGGCCCCAGTCGCCCCAGGGCAGCGTGCTGCAGGCCGGGCTCTGGCTCCGCTGTCGCAGCCACTCACCTCAGCTCCTGGTTTACTACTTTGATGTTTCCATTGCCCATGAGTGAGTAGTTGGCTTGGATGCAGCTTCCTTTCTCAAAGCTCACTGGGATCTTCTCGATTTCATACCATCTTCCAAGATACTGCAGAGACAACAACAAGCGGGGCAAAAGCCTGTGGCTCTCTGGGGACCTGCAGACTCTTCCCCATTGTTGCCTTTCAGAAAGAGAGCCCTTTCCTGGGGAAGCCGGGCAAAATGGGCTGCATTGTTCTCAGTGCCACTGAGCAAGGTACCGACAGTGACGAGAAGAAGGGAATCGGATGTACGGCGCTGGCTGAATGCACATTCTCACTCCTAAAGAGCTCTTTCTTTAGCTGCGCGCTCCGTTTCCTCTGCAGCCAAGATCTGTGTGAAATTCTAGACTCTAGCAGAGGAGCGGATTGCTCTGGATGCTGTAAAGCACCTTTCATCTCAAACATTTAATGAACCTGCGAGGCAGCTTTGACTTTTGTGTGAAGTCAGCTATGGTCACAGTGGGGTGCCAGGACTCTGGGGTCGGTGGGACTTTCCCCAGATGACCTTGCACAGGGAGTTTGTCACAAAGGCCTTTGGCAGGTGATCAGGATTTCGAAGACCTCTGTCATACTCCCCCAGGGGCTTGCTCTGTCCATCGGTTCAGAATGGAATCACGTTTAAAGGAAATTGTCCTGGGCTGAGGAGGGGAGGGGACTGCACCCTCATGCTGGTGTCCGCGCCTTGCACAGAGACCATGCCGACTGACAACGTCTGTGGAGGGCACTGTGGCAACATCTCACAAAGCTAAAAATACATACACTCTCGGGCTTAGCAATTTTGCTTCTGGGAATGCATCCTCCAGCTATAAGACATGATGTATGTGTAAGGTTATTCTTGCAGTGCTGTTTTAGTAAGCGAAGACAGGAAATAGCCTAAGAGAGCATTAGGAGGAGGCTGGGTAAATGAGTGATGGTCCAAAGAATTCTATACATCCTCTTTTGAAAGAGTGAGATGCAATTATTTCTAAGCTATGTTCCCTGAGAAAAGAGAGAGAGAGAGTCAGGAACCAAGTAGCATATATACGTTAAGTTACCTTTTGTGTAAAGTAGGGGAAAAGGTTATTACATTGGTTTCTATTGCTTTTATAACAAACTACCACAAGCTGAAGACGACATGGCTTCGTTATCCTACAGTTCTGAAAGTCACGGGTCTCACTGGGCTACACTTGGGGTGTGTCTGTGTTCCTTTCTGGAGGCTCCAGGGAAGAATCGTTTTTCCAAGTTCTAGAGACCTGCTTTATTCCTTGACTGGGGGCCACCTTCTGTTTCAGAGCCAGCAAAATCAGTAAATTCTTCTCATGTACATCTCCCTTGCCTCTTATCCTCAGCCAACCCTCTTTCTCTCTAACCACAGCAGGGAAAAACGATCTGCTTTTAAAAATCTACGTGTTTAGATTGGGCCCAATCTGGCCATCGCAAGGTTCATAACTTAATCCTATTTTAGGACGCCGATTTCCATGTAAGAGTAACATTCAAAGATTCCAGGTACTAGAGCATGGGCAGCTTCGGAAGCCCTTATGCCACAGTTATATATGTACAAATGGCCCTCAGTTTATCACGGTTAGAGAGTGACAGTATTTTTACTGTACAATGGTGCAAACGCATTCTGTAGAAACTGAATTTCAAGACCTATATGACATTCTGTTTTTCAGCTTTAGTACAGCATTCAGTTCAACACTTTCTCATAAAGCAGGCTTTGTGTGCGATTCTTTTGTCCAGCTGCGGGTTAATGTGAGTTCTGAGCACATCTTGGGTAGGCGAGGGTGAGCCATGCTGTCTGGTAGATTTGGTGTATTAAGTGCATTTTTGACTTACGATATTTTCAAGGTACAATAGGTTTATAGTTGTAAATTGAGGAGCATCTGCGTTTGCTTGTAGACGTATGTATTATCTCTAAAAAGATGCAGAGTGAACTGTTTTCACTGGTTATTTCTGGGGAGGGAAACTTTATCCTATGTTTTTTCCCTCACAATTTTGAACCATGTGAATAAACTTACCTAGTCAAAATATTAGTTGAAATTATTGCGGAAAGTTAAAAATGTATTAGCAAAACATGATGAAAGGGATGCTCTCAGCTTCACAAAGTCAGAGCCTGAAAGGAGCGCACGCTACACACAGGTGGCAGTATTGCTTCAGTCACATGGCCCTGGGCTTAAACGTCCACCCACAGTCGTGACTGAATTTTCCACTCATTTAGAGAAAAGCACGGCCAGGCATTAAAACCATTGAACGTAATGTTCATTTAAAGCATCAAAGCATAAGTTAAAAGTCAACCGGCTTTATAGACGTCCTCAGAAAAAGCTCCATTTCTAAACATAGTTCTATTACTGCTGAAGTGGCTGTCATGCTTCACCATTAAAACAGAGGTAGCAAGTATTCTAGGAAAGAGGAGACTCGGAAATAAAGATTTATTTTATACCATGCTTCCTCACGACCTCATTATTATTTTCTTTTCAGAGAGGTTTTTGCTATAGGGCGTGTGCGCTCGCCAGCCAGACAGAGAGAGACAGAGACAGAAAGCGAGAAATCACCCCCCAGGAGGGAGGGTCACGCTGCAATCCCTTCTCCTCCACTCTCCTCTCGGGATCTTGGGCACGCACGCACACGCGCCCGGCGTGAGTTTAAGCCATCGGGTCCGGGACATGAACCGTGGTCGGCTACATGGGAGTCTAGCGACATAGCCATGATGCTAACTGCTGGTCCGGACGACCTCATTATTTTTGTGATGGCCTCTTAATTGTACAGTTTCTCTACCAGCATAGAGTACTCAATGTTTAAAACTAATTGTACAAAGAAAGGAGTAAAAATATCTCCAGATGCAGACGACGTATAGAAAACCCTAAGGAATCTAGAGAAAACAAAACAACAAAATTATTTGGTCTAATAAGTTTGGAATGGTTAAAAGATATATTTACTTTTTATATATGGATCTTGTATTTTTATATTTGCAATGAACGATCTAAATAAAATGAAGAAAATTACATATATAATAGCATTAAAATAATAAAATATTTAGGAATAAATTTAACCAAAGAAATGCAAACTTGTACTCTGAAAACTACAAAATATTGTTAAAAGACACTAAAGAAGACTAAGTAAAGGCCAGTAGGTGGCTTGGTGGTTATTAAGGTGCTGACTCCCACATGGCTGCCATGGCTCAAATTCCAGGACTGGCTGCTTGAAAATAACACCAGATGTATGTATGTGCATGTTAGCCCCAGATCCCAAGAGGACAGTGGAGGAGAAGGGATTGCAGCATGGTTATCCCCACTGGGGAGTGATTTCTAACTTTCCCTCTCTCTGTCTCTTTCCGTTTATCTCTGATGAGCACACATACTCTATGGAAAAAAAAAAAGAAAAGAAAAAAGGACCTAAGTAAATTAAAAGACATTTTATATTCATGAATTGGAAAACAATGTTATTGAGATAGGAATACTCCACAAATTGATCTCCAGATTCAATGCAATCTCTTTTAAAGTTCCACCTGGAGGGGTCAATAGGTGGCATGGGTGATTAAGGTGTTGGACTCCCACATGGCTGGCCACGGTTTGAATCCCAGGCCTGGTGACTTGAAAATCACGCTGGGTGCATATGCACGCATACTCAAAATCTGGAGAGGAGAATGGAGGAGAAGGGATTGTGCAGTGGCCATTCCATGTGTGGGGAATCACTCCACCTGGGGTGATTTCTCACTTTCTCTCTCTCTGTCTCTCCAGCGACTGCTCTCACCCTATGGCAAAAATATAAAATAATAAAAAAGTTTCAACTGGCTTTTTTTTTTTGTTTTGCAGAAATTTACACACTGATCCTAAAATTTATATAAAAATACAAAGGACACAGAATAGCCAGAAAGGCAAAGTTGGAGGGTTCATTCATTCTGATTTTAAAACTTACTACAAAGCTTTAACAATCAAGACTGTTTGGTACTGGCGTAAGTATAGACATGTAGATTGATAGAATATAACTGAGAGTTCACAAATAAGCCCTCACGTACATGGTCAATTGATTTTCAACAAGGATGCCAAGACTATTCCATGGAGAAACAATAGTCTTTTCAACAAATGGTGCCGGGACAACTGTCTGTCCTTCCACAGTTACAATGAGTTTGGGCCATTTTGTCACACCACGCACAAAATTTAACTTAAAATGAATCAAAGACTTAACTGTAAGAACGAAAACTATAGGACTATTCAAAGTAAATAATACTGGGGCCGGTGGGTGGCGTGATGGTTGGGGTTCTAGACTCCCACATGGCTGATTGCTGTTTAAGTCTCGGGCCTGGAGACTTGTTTCTTACTTCTCTCTCTCTCTCTCTCTCTCTCTCTCTCGTAAAACAAAGTACCCATGGCAAGTTAAATAATAATAAATAAAATTTTAAAAATAAAAACAAAGTTAATAATACTAATAAATCATGGATTAGGCAACAGAGGTTTTCTTTTTTTTAGAGTTTTTTTTTGGTATGACGCCAAAAACACAAGCAACAAAAGAAATAAGTAGACAATTGGGACTCCATTAGCATTAAAAACTTTTCGACTTCAAGGGGCACATCAATAAAGTGCAAAAACTCACAGTATGATCAAAAGCATGTGTCAATTCTGTATATGGTAAGAGATGTGTGTATAGAATATAGATAGAATTATCACAGTTCTATAATGAGAAGGGATAAATAACCCAATTTAAAAGTGGGCAAAGGATTTGAGTAGCAGATACACGTATGGCCAATAAACACATGAAAAGGTGCTCAATATCATCAATCGTCAAAGATAGAAATGCAAGTAAAAGTCATGAGGTACTGCATTGCATCCACTGAAGATGGCCGCAGTCACAAAAGGTGACAAATGAGTGAGAACATGGGGTATAGTTCTTTCTGTGTCTGGCTTCTTTCTCTCGACATGACATCCTCCAGGTACATTCATTTAATCTCATAGAAGAAGAGGGTATTACAGAACGCTGGTTACCAGATGCTGGGAAGGGTAGCAGGCAGGGGAGAATAGGGAGACAGTGGGTAATGAATACCTAATGACAGCTGGATAGGAGGAATAAACGCTAGGTTTCTATAGCACTAGAGGGTGACTATAGTTAACAACAAAATATTGCACACTTCAAGATAGCCAGAAGAGAGGATTTTAAATATTCCCAGCATAAAGTAATAAGTATTTGAGGTGCTGGACATGCAAACTACCCTAATTAAATCAGTACACATTTTGTGTATCAAAAATTCACATTGCACCCCAGGACTATGTACAACTATATGCCAGTTAATAAAAAATTAGAGAAATAAATAATAACAAATATTGGCAAAGATATGGAGAAACTGGAGTCATACACTGCTAAGACTGTGAAATGGTGCAGCTCTCCTGGAAAGCAGTCTAATAGCTTCTCAAAAGGTTGAAACAAGGCGTTAGCAATTCCACTCCTATGTATATATCTTTTTTTTTAAGAATTATTTTATTTAGTTTTATTTATTCATTCACTTATTTTAATTTGAACAGAGAGAGACAGAGGAAAAGTGAGAAAGTAAGCCTCCAGGTCTGGAACTCAAACCATGGTTAGCCATGTGGGATATCGAGCGCCTTAACCACCATGCCACTTGCTGGTCCCCTCCTATGTATATATCTGAGAGCACTGAAAACGTGTTCCCTCTCCCCCAAAACTTGAACATGAATGTTCACAGCAGCATTATTCCTACTAGTAAAAAACTGGAAACAACTCAAATGACACATGGATAAATAAAATGTGATGTAATTTATTTGGTAGAATGATATTTGGCAATAAAAGGGAATGGAGTCCTGATACATGCTACATAGCCGAACCTTGGAACATTACGTTAAGTAAAAGAAGGCAGTCACAAAAAGACACGTATTGTATGAGTCCATTCCCTTTTTAAATTTTTTTTAAACTTTCTTTCCTTGATAGTGTGTGCATGCACACATGAGAGACTGAGAGAAAGAAAGCACACGCCCTCAACAGGATCTCATCACGCCATGCCCCCATCCTCAGCCTCTGGCTTCTTAGGCTCTGGGTGCCTGCATGCACCAATGTGCTTTTAGGCTGACTTAGGGACCTGAACCTGCAGTCAGCATGTGGCTTCCAGCCTTCCAGGCCACTTGTGTTACTGCTGTGCCACAGTGGCTGGGCTTACAATTCCATTTCTATGAAACACAAAAAATGGGCAGTCATAGTCATAGAGACAGAAAGTGGATTATTGGTTGCCTGGGACTGGAAAGATTTGAGAGAAATGGAGAGTGATGCAAATGGGTTTGGGACTTCTCTGTTGTAAGATTGATTATGGTGAAGATTGCGTACCTTTGTGAATATACTAAAAGGCACTGAAAGTAAAAAGAAATCTCTTCAAACTATGCAGAATGTGAATTGTATCTTAATAAGGCTATTATTTTTAAAGACTTAAATTCTCAAATAATTTTTGCAAGTACAGAATAATGATAATTTCTAACATGCTTTGAGATTTTTATCTAAAAGCTAATAGCTCATATTCCCTGGGTCTATGGTATACAGCCTCCTTCTTGTCCACCAGGGTTACCTGAATGAAGGGACCAGTGAACTAGTGTGGACTGGAGTGCAATGTATCTCCTCTTCCTGCCTCCCCAGTGGGAGCTTTCTCTGACCTAGTGATAGGATACCTTCCCCACCCACTCAGCTTCACAACTCTGCCTTGGAGGTCCAACACTCACTCACACTGAGGCCATCTTTAGTGGATGCAATGCAGTATCTCATGAGCTTCGATGCTACTTGTATGAAGTGCATCTCTTCTTTTTGTCATAGAGCATGTGTGCTCGCTAGAGAGGCAGACAGACAGCAAGAAATCACCATAATCCCTTCTCCTCCATTCTCCTCTTGGGATCTTGGGTATGCATGCACATGCACACGCACCTCGTGTGAGTTTTAAGCTGTCGGTCTGGGACTTGAACCACGGTCGACTGTGTGGAAGTCCAGTGACATAACCATTACACCATCTGTTGGTCCCAAGTATATTGCCTCTTAAAAGAGCTCAAAACCTCTTACTGAGAAGCAGATGTCTTAAGAGTGGGATTCTAGGCATGAGTTAGCAGGGCGGGAGCCTGTAAGTCATTCAGCCACTGCCTCGTCTGTTCTCTTCCCCTTCCCAAGCCCCCAGTCCTAGGAGAAAAGACCATTTATGGAGGTGCTAGGTATATTGTTTTTTTATTTTATTTTTACTTTACTTTCTTTTTTAGTGTAGCTACCAAAAAAGCCCCTTGGGGGAATTCTGGCCATTCCTGGGCCTCACGTGAGTAACCTTTGGGCGCCTGCGCTGCTGGGATGCCTACTTTTGAGTCCTACTTGCATTTACAGGCTGTGTGACCTGAGAGCGGACGCTTGGCTTCTCTGCAGAATGGGGATAATAACACTGGCGCCAACTGACACTGCCCCCTCTCGTGTCCCTCAGCCCACCTCTGAGTTGTCAGTTCCCACAGAACGTCAGCGTCCCAGCTGAGACCTGCGTCTCTCCTTTGTGAGAGGGCCTGGCCAGGGCCACCAGGGTTCCCAGGTCCTGTGACATCCATCTGTGGGAAGATCTGAGTGCGGTCTACACACTTCCTCGGAGGAGCCCCCTCCGTTCAAGGAGAAACTACCTATGAACCCACCGTTGGTTGCTTCCGGAGGGCCTCCCCAGCCAGGCTTTCCCACATGCTCCTTCCAGAGCTCTCTGCACCCAGCCCTTGCCTCAGGCTCTGCTCTGGGGAAACCCCCAACCAGGGTGAGGACCTGCCCCAGGCTGCAGATTGAAGCAGAATAATGGAAGTGAACCTCATAGGATGCTTATCCAAATAAGAGACAGCAAAGGAAATGGGCGCTTAGTCTTTCACCGCACCTTATTCACGTCAAAGTTCTCCTGCACCGGAGGGGTCGGGCACTGCCCCAGATGGTACGCTTGTCCCTCTGCCGTACTCAAAAGGCTGGCCAGCGCAGAAAGCAGCAACAGCATCGTCACCATCTTGGGCCGGGGAGGGTATCCAGGGACCTGGAGTTGGGGAACCAAGCAGGGGAGTGGTTCTGAGGCTCCCAGGACATCCTGGCTGGAAGGTTTCCCGCACAGGCTGGTCCCTCTGCAGGCCGTCCTTCCCCTTAGCCTGCATGAACCCCTCATCCTTCAGGGACACCTGGCTGTCAGGGCCCTGTCAGCCCTATCTCCCCAAAGCCCCACTTCCCCAAAGCCCCACCTCCCCAAAGCCCTTCCTACCTGCTTTTGGGCACCCTGTGCCTGAAATTAGTTTGTTGGACTGATTTTGCAATTTTGCATCCCACCCCCTGCCTAATTATGCATTTCTCCAGGATAGGCAACGTGTCTGATTCTACTCTGAATCATCCCCCAACACCTCGAAGTATCAGGCTCAACAGATACTTGGGTACACAGAAATGATGTGGAGGGAGGACGGGCAACAGGGGAGCCTGAAGCTGTCGAGGGAGCTGCGAAAGGCAAACAAAACCGGGCACGTGTGGTGTCCCACTCTGGCTGTTTGAGCCCCCAGTGGGCCTGGAAACCTTAACCGGAAACAGCAAGTGGGGACCCCAGGCTTACCTGGCTGGGTTCAGAGCCTGACTCTGACAAATGCCAAGTGTAACTGTGTCCAAATTATACCTTAGTTTGTCTATTAAGGGGGAATAATAGTAATCTACTTCCTCATGAATGTTTGTGGGAATTAAATAAGATAATTTATAGAGCGTATAGAGAACAGTTTCTGACGCAGACTTAAAGCTCAATAAATGCTGGTTATTGTTATTATGAAGAACAGAAACAGATGAATGTATTTCCTTTTTTGTTTTTATTTTTATTTTTTTATTTTTTGCTATAGGGTGTGTGCTCTCGCTAGACAAAAAGCAAAACCACTTCCCAGAGGGGATGGCCACACGATAGTCCCTTCTCCACCATTCTCCTCTAGGGATTATGGGCACGCACACACATGTGCTCAGAGTAGTCTCAAGCTGCCGGGTCTGGG